AAGGGGGCGGTGGTGGTTCATAAAGTGGTAATTGTGGAAGAGAATGTTTGATAGATAATCCATTATTATCAGATGATGGTAGTCCTGCAGCAGCTATTGCTTCAGCTGTCTTTTGTGCTATTTCAGCATAAAGTTTTTCGAGTGAGTCTGTAGAAGACGTTGTATTCACGTTCATACTTTGCTTTGCTTTTTATGCAAATGCAAGGTAACATTAAAGATAATTGTGTTTTTTTTTAAATCAGAGAACAGTGGATCACGGAAGAAAAAGAAAAAAACAATATCATGTTCTTACATCACAATATTTTGATAAGACATCGCAAGATTGTTTTATAACAGCAATGCACAAGAAACAATCAACAACATGAGTCAACATCTACACCATTTTAGATGAATCATGATTAATTTTTAGTACGGAAAAAATAATTGGTTCATATGGATTGTAGCGTAAATTTGAAAGGAAAATTTAATACATTTAATATAAATTTGTCTAATGTTTCATGAAGTTCTACTAAATCAAATAAACATTCCATTTCGATCCATATACATTGATATACACAATGTAACTACTGCTGCTAATTACAAGAGATTTCTTTATTATACCTATTTTAAAACACTTCTCTCCACAAAATCTATTAAGAAAATTGCTCATAATACTAGAACAAAACGTTATACATACATATATGTGTGTGTGTTCAGTGGTCTTGTATCTACGTCTGTCAAAATTCATGGGAAAAAGAAGGGAATAAATTCAAAATTCCACCAGATGTACATCAAGATTAGTTTTAAACCATGTTTTAAAAATTATTCGATCATTTTCGATACAAATTATATGTAATGATCTAGTCTTCATATCATTTTTTTTCGTATTTATGATATTCTATAACCGTATCAATTTATTTGCAAAACAAATCTTAAAATATTATAGACATTAGTGTGCGATATTTAGTATGTTTCACTGCGAAACAGTCAACTGTTTCAAATATTACTGTTAATGATATTAGTCTGATTGAAAAAGAGTGCTGTTGATATATCGTTTATATCGAATACCTTTGGCATCCATGTATTGCAAGCCAAGAAAATGATCGCAAAGCCAAATATATTCATAACAACACCCGTTTTTATCTAGAAACGTACATTGAAGTTTGTTTTACCAAACAATAGCTATATAAAACTCACCATATCAGTCACTCGAATAGCCCCACTAGCAAAAACAATGGCATTTGGTGGTGTAGCTACATGAAAATAAGCTTTAATATTGTCTTAAGAACATCTCATATAGATACTTACCTATTGGTAACATAAAGGCGAGAGAAACGGCCAATGTGCATGGAAGTATAAGAAAACCAGGATGAATACCAGAAGAATATGCCTACAAGTTGATTTATATTCCATCAACGAATTTTTTAAAATAAAATCAAGCCGTCTAGATTTTGAATTCAAATATTTTTAGACATTTGCACAAAATCTGTTTCTTATAAATAATTTTCTGAACAATATATATTTTTTTGTTTAAATTCGATTTCCTTGATGAATTGAAAATAACAATGAAAACTTCGTAAATAGTTCAGATATATATAATTAAGTTGTTCATTTTTTGAATAATAGACTGTTACTTTTAAAATCGACGAATTTCAATTTTTGATTTAAACTTATATCAATTGAACATAATTCTCAGTAGGTTTTAGGTATTGAATTGATAAATACACAAGAAAGTTGATATCTTTGAAAAGAATGCTCATCTAACTGAACTATTATCGAATATTTTATTGTTTGTTCCGATCTATCGATTTAATCTAGTCTCAACCAATAAACGATTAACTATTTGAAGATTTTTGTTAGCTTATTGATCGTAGTTTCAACAATGTTTTAGTAAAAATAAGTCACTATTAGTCTTACCACTGAATTAAGTACTGGAAAAAAGATAGTTGCCGTACTCAAGTTTGATGTAACTTCAGTGAAGAGGCCACTAATAACAATAATGACTATGATGACTACAGGTTGTGATGCACTAGACATAAAGCTAAAAGCGTCGGCCACAGTCTCCGATAATTTTGACTTCTTTAAAAGTAAATGCAATGGAATCCATCTACATTTTACTTTGATCATTAGGTCAACATACTTGAAAAGCACCCGCTACAGAAAGTCCAGCACCAAGTAAAAGTATTGCGCCCCATGACAAATTTTTTACCAGTTTATTCCATTCTACAATTGGTTTGTATTTCCAATTTGCTCGTTCTTACAAAAACAAAGACATGCCTCATTGTACATGTCATTTTTTTTTTCATATAATTACAAAGTTTCTTACTGTTGAAGGGATTACTGTTAGGTAAAATCAATGGAAGTACTCCACAGAAAATAGCTACAGTGCCATCAGTGATGTACCTAGAAAAATTATGGAAGCTTCATAATTAATATTCTATGTAAAAAAAAATGGATGGATACTCGTGTTGAAATATTACACTCCAACCTGGTGTTTCAGAAAATTCTCTTGTTACCCAAAGAAGAATTAATATAATGAACAAAATACCCACGGTGATTTCAGCCCATCTGTTAAATACAGTAGAAACATTTATGAAGAGAATTTTCTTTATCAAATAATTCACTTTGGATTGCCAAGGTCTTTATATTGTTTTGTTAACATGGTCTTCAAATCTTTTTGAATTTCACGTGTTTCAGCATCTTTTCGACACTGAAAAAATCTATAAGTAAACCAATCAACATTGATTTTCTTGAAAAATTTTCATTAAGAAAAACTGTGAATACGAACTGTTTCCTATTGTAATACACTTGTAGCCATAGCCAACAGAAGATAAGCATTAACAATCCAACCGGTAAGGCGAAGAGTAAAAAATTGAGGAAGTTTATCCGAAACTCAGTACCATCGTATTCGCTGTTTTATCAAAAAAATTTTTTTTATTATTATGATTTTTATTCTCTAAACTTACTCATCTGTAAAGCCTTTGAGATAAACATTAGGTCCGGTACCAACTAAACTGGATAATCCACCAATAGATGATGAATAGGCCACCGAAAGAAGAAATCCTATATTAGAATATTAACAAAAATAAAAATAAGATTCGAAGATTAATTCGAAAAAGAATTACCTTTTCTTAATTGATCGTACTTTTGCTTGACTGGATCAATCAGCGACATTTTTTGTTGTTTACAACATACGAATCTGAAATGTGTCTTTACTTCAACGGGTACTTCATGTTTTCTATGTAATGAAAGAAAATATCTATATGTCTACTAAGTGATTGATTAATCATGTAAACTTACGATGCTTTGTTACTTTGTGTATCAAGATGTATTTCGTTACTCGTATTTTCGATAGGTACTTCGACGTCAGTAGAATCGAATGCATCTAGATACAATTCAAGCATAGATTATTGTGTAAATCTACAGATTTCTCTACTACCATTTTGAACAGCTATTGCTGTTGTGTTATGTTGTCGTTTAGTGATAAAATTTTTTCCATGTCTCTCAAGTTCGTTGATAATAGCCAACGCTACAGGCATCATAATTGATGTTGATGCAGAATTGTTAATCCACATTGAAAGAAATGCCGTTACTCCCATTAAACCTGCCATTGCCCTATATAATCATTAACATCATTTCATATTTGAGAATTGTGTCAACTTGCAAATATATCAACAATTAGAAATCAGGTTGAAAGTGAAAATAATATTTTGATTCTGTAAAAATTTTTCCAGATCTCTATAAATGAAATTCACTAGGTTTATAGAGACTTTGCATTGATCATTTTGAAAAATAAATAACATTCTAACTTCACTGTTCAGGATGTCTTCCATTTGTGATTAGCTATACAATATTTTTTGTTTTATTAGTTCTAGAGTGAAATTTTCTTCCTTTATCGAGAATACATCCTATTCCGCAATGTTGTACATTGCGGGAACCAGTTCCGCCCCCAGAATCAGTTCCCTCAATTCCGGAATTCCTATAATGACCCTTTCATCTAATTCCGGAATCCTAACAACCTAATTCCCACCAATTACGGAATTTCTAGAACCTAATTCCTATCGATTCCGGAATTCCCTGACGGAATCATACCATCTCCCCTCACCCTCACTTGTTGCCTTGTGTTGCAAGGTTATATCCTTCGAAACACGACCGAATTCCGTTACAGAATTCCGGAATTGGTGGAACTGATTCCGGAATGTGCAACATTGCGGAATAGGATGACTGCTCCCTTTATCTAACTAACTAGATATAAAAAATTGATTTATACGATATAAAAATTCTATTGTTTTATTGATGGAAGAAATATAGTTGCATATAATCTTTTTTGAACAAAAAACAAATCCTCCTTTATCGTATTGGTATCAAGAACATGTATTCCTCTTTCGTTGTTCATGATTTAATATTAAACAAAACTGATGTCGTAATAATATAGGTACGAATAGAGTGATACAACAACTACATAAACATCATTATTGATTGTTTCAACAGAATTGCTCAATCTTTTTTGTAAAATGACTACATACCATTGTTCTGACGTGCCTACGAATTTCAATACAAACAGGGCGATGCGTCGATGAAGATTGACCGACTCAACAGCATGAGCAAACATCATACTTCCGAAAAAGAGTACAATTATATCTTTAAAATAGTAGGGTGCCACGTCTTCCGCAGTTAGAACACCAGCCTGTAGAGAAATATTATAATACTATAATCATATCAAAATATTTAAATTTTTTCCATTACCATTGGAAAAAAGAAGAGAGGTAATAATGAAGTTATTGGCAAAGGTATTGCTTCTGAGATCCAAAATACAGCTAGAATAATGACAATGTAACCACATCGCGCTTGCTAAAAAAAATAGTGAGAGCATATCTATATATATATATTAAGTTGAATGACATTAATTGATTAACCTACAGAAGAATTTAGAATTATAGGTATCGGAAGAAGGATTAAAGGGGTTATGATAACTACGAATAAACGCCACCGTTGTGCTAGCCATTTTAATAAAGACATTCTTATTCAAGAATCCAATGAAAAAAGAAAAATGTGTTCTCAATTGTCAGAATTTTTTTAAAATTTTTATAAAGACGTCCTCACTTTCATGTATTGAAATTATAAATGATAAAAAAGAGCTATTTATAATGGAACAGTAATCGTTATTATTATCAGTGTTGAATACATTTTGTCATTTATCATGATCCATAAATATTTTTATCTTTTGATTTTGTCCTTATACTAGTAGAAGAACGCAATGTCAAGAAAAAGATCGCACTAATTTATTATTGTTACCTTTACTATATCTTTCTTAAGTAAATAAATACATTCAAAACAACATCATCATAATTCTAGTAGCTAGCAAACAAGACATATACCCTCAAGGTGTGAATACAGGGTGTGTGTAATGTGATAAATTCAGAGTGTCATTTCGTACCTAAGAAAAGAATCTGAAACTGACATAATGTGTTACTATCATAGTATATTGATATAAAAAATTGTTTTCAATTAAATAATATTAACTGGATTTTGAGCATTATGTTCATGTAAGCTTTAATATATATTGAACTTATGAAATCAATAGAATCACTAATATCATTTCATAGAACAAAGAAAAGGATGTCTTTCGTGAATACGTGATTTTTGAAAACGAAATTCTAGCACAAAACAAAACGTGAGCGTTGATCTACTTCAAATAAAATTGAATGTATGACTAAAGTGTGACTGAAGTACGGCTGAAGAACGGTCAGTACGATTGAAGTACGAGCCAAGCACGAGTTAAGTACGACTGCAGTACATTGGCGTACCAGTAGGGGGCGAAAGCTACCGTCATTGACTAGTTAAGCTACTAGGTAATCAAAAAATTTATGAATTTGTTTTCTTCCTTCTACAAAAGAATTTCGTGATTGAGGAAATCTGTATTGGTAGCTAGTTTTTTTAAATTACTCAGTTGATTTTTCATCTACAAAATAAATAAATCCTATTATTTGAGTTTTAGACATAGGCGACATCTGATTAAACAAGTGTTGACAAGTCAGATTTCTCTGGTTATGATAGATAAAAATTCAATTAAAGACTATTTTGCAACTACTGCTAATTTGACTTATTCATCCTTAAGATAAAAAATTAATTCTCAAATTTTGAGAAGTCAATTACAGATTTGAATTTCTCGAATCTCAAGATCTTTGATAAAATTTTATAAAAAAAATGTTATTTCTTAAAATAGATTTTTGTCAACGAAAAAGTTATATCTTATAAATTTTTTGTTATGTGACATTTTGACCGATTAATCGACGTAACTAGCATTTTTTCTATATAAAAGACAACATATTTTCAATAATCATAACTAAAAAATTTCGTGCATCAATCCGATATAAATGAAATAACTTTATAAGCACTTGATAGAGTTTCGTAATTATGTCTTCTGTATATTTTTGTTTTGAATGTTATTATATTTCAATTTCTTGTGGCTAATATTGAAGTCAAATATCATTGTCATGATATTTGATTGTGCACGATATATTTTCATTTTTCTGATCGTTTAGCATTGATAATAGGAAAAACTTGAACATTCTATTTTAATCTATTAATTCAATATATAGTTATACACTAATTTTAATGGACTTTCATGAGTTTCGTCACAACAATATAACATTACTTTACTATGTCAAAATAGCAAATCATCTTTAGCAGTCGTAACTCGACGAGATCTATTCAAGTATGACAGAAATAAAAACACTAAAAAAAAAGTATTTATAATTATTGTTACAAGTATCTCATGTGATGAACAATAATAAATAATTCCTTCAATAAACGAAAGAATTTCATCGATTACGACATATGAGTACAAACAATTATTTAAAAAAAAACAGATAATAAACTATAGGTTTACAAAAAAAAGTGATCGGACATATGAAAACAAACAGATTTGCCTATTTACAATGAATTATTTATATTCATTGGACTTAGAAGTTCAAAAAAAAACATTTTTCGTCATTAATTTATTTATTTTTGGTAACTTTGCATTGATGCCGAGCTTTCTATATGGTTCACAGTGTAAAACTGAACTGTTGTTCTGATATAGTACATACATACGTAGAGTGGTATTAGTGATGGTAATCTTCATTGTTATTATTCAAACAACAGTGCAGCTACCAAATATTTTCATTTTTCAGAAATAAATGGTAACATGAAAATATGCTCAATTGAACGCTCGAATATTTCTCAAGAACCAGCAATCAACAAACTATAAACTATTTAAGAAAGTTATGGACAATCTGCAATTAATTCTTATAATTATCAACTTTCTCATTTTTTTTAAATAAAGCTTTTTTTTTCTCCTTAAATTACGATGGATGAGGGTGTAAGAGCACTGTGTAGCTGAGAACGTAGCATGTAGGTTTGAGAGTAAACAATAGGAAAGAAGTACTGTCTATAGAACATAAGTATAGTCATTACCTTGATTTTGATCTATTCATCCACACCTATTTTTCATATAGACTGTTTCATTTAATCAAATTATGAAATAAACATTGATTGACTCATCTCTCTTATATTTTATTTTCATTTTATTTATGTGTAAGAAAAAAATTATTTTATATAACTTTAAGGCATTGGGTGTGGGTAGAGAGAACAGCCGCACCCTATCCTTCTTGACTTTTCTTCTACTTGCATGCCTTATTTATATTGATGAGACACTCTGAAAATCTATACATGAATACGGTTGAATAAACATAAAAAAGAGATGAATTTTGTTAGATGCAACAACTCTCTATGAGAGTAATTCTATCAAAGAAAATGAATATAGTTACTTGCTAAAAATTATATTTTAGAAGTATAACAAAACCAGTGATGATAATGAAAGATTCTTATTTTAGTTTAATATATTAGCATATTGATGATACAATAATTTTTGCTTTAGATCATTGATAATCATAATTCAATTTTAATTCATTAAAATGAATACTGTGTGTGGAGGTTTAGTGCAAATTGTATGGTCAATATTATTTAATATTGATTAAAGTAGTACTGAATAAATCTACATATTGTGAATAAAATCTTTAGCAACATGGATATTTCTTTTCAGTAGGGACATAATTTCCTTGATAATATGCTATTTGTTACAAGAACAACGTTTTCTTTTTGTTATCGAGCACTCATAAATATTTCTACTGATAATAAGCAAAAAGCAAATGTTTGATTTCAAAAAGCATAAAGAAAGCTTTTTGAAATTGTTAATTTCTTCTTCGATCACAACTTGACTATTCTTATCAGTAATATAATTTAATTGTTGAAGAATGACATTAAAAAGTTAAGTTGATTTATGATAGAAGACAAGTATCATCAAGAAGAATTTTAAAATGAATTCTGAATAACTTTTGTTGGATAATCAAAACGATTTCTATGATATGCTTGAAAATAGAGAATTAAATGATAATTATTTTAATAGTTAATTTATGATTCCTGTTTGAATCATATTCGAATAACATAAAGTCTAGTCATTCAAATTAAAAGACTCTGATTAAAAAATTTGATTTTCGACAGATTTTTTTCTCTTTATTATCAGTAAGACAAACATACACTCAAACATTTCATACTAATAGTAATAACAATAATTGTATACTTCAATATCAACAGTGCAGTAATAAAACCTTCTTTTTTTTCTCTATACATTTTTCAGTTTGTTACATTCTACGTAGTAGAAGTCTATCTTTTGATTTTTTACTTAAGATGAGTAAAATATCAGATAGCAGTAATTCAACGCCTGTTGTGGTTAATAAATCAATATATTATTTTTTTGCAGTGCTTGTTTTGTTTACAATCACAACGGTTGCTCTGACTGCAGCCATTTTAGGTGTTGTTATTAATCGTCTAGATGTGAAGAATACAAGTTCTACTTATAATAATGAACCAATATCATTTGTTGATCAAATTAAAATTGAGGATTTAATGAAACATTTAGAACAACTTCAAGTGATTGCAGATCGAAGTAATGGAACACGTGCAATAGCAACTGGAGGATTTAATGATACAATCGACTATATTACGAATGAACTTGAACAAAATACCAATTTTAAAATTCAACGTCAGTATTTCACAGTTCGAAACCATATGGTTCGAGGAACACCACAACTACAAACAAGAATTAATGGAATTACAACAAATCATGTTTATTTAGCTAATTTCACTCATATTTTGTTTTCAGCAAGCGCTAATTTCGATACATTTGTTCAAGTAGTTACTGTTCCAAATTTAGGTTGTTTAGATACTGATTGGACCAATGTATCTGTACTCAATTCAGTTGCTTTGGTTAAGCGAGGTAATTGTACATATGCACAAAAGTTTATATTAGCTGAAAAATATCAAGTGAAAGGATTACTTATTTATAATGATGGCATATCATCAGATGGTTTCAATCTAATACAAGGAATAAGAAATAATTTGAATGCAACTATTCCAGCCTATTTCTTATCATATAATCTTGGAATGCAATTAGTCAATGGAGCAAACAATGTTGAGGTGATCATGAATATTAATGTTAGTGATACGAATGGTATTGCAAATATTTGTGCTGATACAGCAACAGGAGATGAAACTAAAACAATTGTTATTGGCGCTCATAGTGATGGAGTACCAGCCGGAAGCGGAATCAATGATAATGGTTAAAAACTATTGATCAATCACTATAGAATAATCATTGATTTTATTCTTATTTAGGTAGTGGAACAGTTGGTATTTTAGTTTTAGCTCTTAATTTAGCTCGCTTATTTCAAACATCATCATCACAATATTCTACATATCAATATCGTGTTCGATTTTGTTGGTGGGGTGCTGAAGAACTCGGTCTTATTGGTGCTCGATATCATGTTGAACAGGCTCTCTTACCAAGCAATAATGCTGTCGGTGAACGTTTACAAGATTACTTAGTTAATTTAAATTATGATATGTTAGCTGGTCCTAATTATCGTTTTGGTATTCATGATAGTTCAACAGTTCCATTAGGAACACCAGATACAGCTCTAAATGGTACTCATAGAATTATGGATCTATTTCGTCAATGGTTTAATGAACAAAAACTTCCTTGGAGTAATTCTTCACTTGGAGGTGGTAGTGATTATGTTCCATTTCTAGCTGCAGGTATAGCAGTCGGTGGAGTTAATACAGGAGCTGGAGGAATTAAATCAGCCGCTGAACGAGATCTATATTCAGCAGTATTAGGAACAGGAAATGGAGGAATAGCTAATGCTGCTTTTGATCCATGTTATCATCAACAATGTGATAGAATCAGAAATATCAATCCATTTGCATATGAAAAAGTTGTTAAAGCAGCTGCTCATGCAATTGAATATCTTGGAAGATTGAATGATTTAGAAAAATGGCTTTATCCACAACGTCGACCAAAGAATTTTGAACTACTCAACCGATATCAATCATATAATTTCTATAACGATTCGGATCTTAATTCGTCTTGAATAAACACATTTTCATACATTTGTGTAAGCCTGAATAATTTAAAGACATTTAACAGACATTAAGAATTTTTTTCAGCAAATTTCAATTTAATTTTAACTAATGAAAAAATAAATCTATATCAATATTCGTTGTGAATAGAAATGTTACACATTTATTACAATTCATTATGATAATATAATACGACTAGCGAGAACGCCTGCATACTGCATGGCCGTTTCCTTCTTTGACAAATGATCTTAGATGCTTAACTTTTCATCCAGTAACAGCCACATAGACACCCGATATTATCTGTATAGATAGATAGATAGCCCTACGACCTTATAGCCTTGTCTGACTACGTACCACTGCATTAAGTAGTTAAATCTCTAGAGAGTATTGACCGTTATATATTGAAATTAATAGAAGAATTTTTAAAAAAATTCGAATTTGTGCAATTATTCGATATTCAACTTTTATGAAAGTAAATATATAGAACGTAAACAAGAAAATCAATTATCTTAATGCTTAAGAACACCATTTTCCATTCCAAGACATATTGCACTAACTTCAATCAATTCCACTAAAAGAGCTTATATGCACAAAGAAATATTTATCTGAACTGAAATGACCTTAGTGTACACACGAAGATGAAAATATAATTCTCAAGTTTTCTTTGTTCATATAACTGACATGCGGTTTTGGTTTGTTTGAGCGATATTGTTAAAAATAGTGTTAAGATACCTAATAAAACCGTCTCGTAAATTTCAAAGCATTCTGCAGTTTTTTTGGGCGTAGAAAATTAAGGTACCCTTAATTCAAAAATTTTTACACCAGTGCACTTATGTAACAGTTTTTTATTGTCTATTTCACATAAAAGAGAGGGTATCATTTTTAAACATCTCTTTTTTGTATTACTTCAAGTTATCGCAACTAAAACTCCATGACTAAGAGATCCTCGAAATATATACAACAGTAAAAATTGCAGTTTAATAATAATAAATTATCGTTTATTGCCCCATCCCAGTTTAGAATTCTGTCTCATCTGTGGATAGATTTTCTCACAACATAGATTAAATCAGTTCTATTGAAAAATCTAGCTAATTTTACCCCGTTCAACTGTCGTTGTAAAAGTCACCGCCGCCTTTCTTTGAACAGAAATGGCTTTTGTTATATCTTAAAATACTGCTGAGATACGAAGCTTTGACATGGACATATATATAACCAAGACTTTCTTATTATTATCGAATATAAATTCACTCGAATCCTTTGCATTTAATTTACGAATAGACGTAAGCTCTGTATGAGCGGGAAAAAAATATCAATATTCATTTTTACTTTCTTCTTTTCATACGTTTAGACACAATTTAAAGTCAATATATACTATACTTGTTGGTAATGAAGTTGAGAAAATTCGATTTTACATATTTCAAAGACACATGTCAATAGAAAAATCAACTGTTAGTTCATTACTCACTTCACTATTTAAATACATTAAAACAATAGTTAGCTATCCTACATTTACCATAAAGTGTATGGCTTCATTTACAAATGTCTTCTCATAATGTTGTGTCCACTAAAAGTAGATATTGACTTTCATAAGTACTTATGTGATGGATTCGAATTTTGATGAGATTCTGAATGCATTTTTTGCTACAATACAATTTTACGCATAACATGTTTTGGATACAAATTATGCTGGAGAACTACAACTAATTAGATAGGGCAATTTATAATAAAGCGAATGTGATGCAATTCATCGGATAAAGTCGAACGTGCTTTATCCAAAAACATTACTGATTGAGCACTGTTTTCACAGAAAAGATTTCGATTGCATATTAATCCTCCATGATCACTCCAGCTAGTAAGAAAAAACGCAGGAGCTCAATAAATTACTATTAATCAAATGAAAGTTCGCACACTCATAGCCTAACGTTGACATTGAATTATTCAGTGAGTCGATGTCCAGATGAAGTCTCAATATATATTTGATGTTGCCTAAGTTATTTTGGCTGCTAATCACACTGACAAACTATCTTTTTAAAGACATAATGAAACATTAAAACAAGATTTTGTATTAAATGTTTAAGAGGTCACGTAGCAAAATTAGTTCGCAACAGGTATGAGATAACACAGAATACGTTTTGAAAATTTGACTTGAAATTCGTATCATTACTGGAACATTCGTCGATAATAATGCTTAGCACACTGTTAGCTAGGAAAATATGACCTTACTTGAATTATAAGCTTACAATAAATCATGAAATATCATATTAAGGCAAAACTTTTATTAAAAGTAGTGGTTCCACTAGACAGGTAATTTGAATATATCAGTACACATTTGGATACTTGAATGGATGCAGACAAGAACATATACCAATAGAACTACTCTATTTTTTAATTTAAATGCACTTCCAATACATCAAATATAAATTCTTTCAGTAATGTTGTCCATGTGATAAATTATTCAGATATTGGGCTCAAACACAAAAATTGTTTTTGGTCTTTGACTTGGCCATATTTTCTCAGTTTTTCCTTCTGCTATTCCTTATTGAAACCCATTAGATCTCGACATTAGATCTCGACATTTGATATTTATTCAATGAATCCCAACAATTTCAAGTAGCTCTTCCAGAATTCACCCAAGGCGAGCTTATTTTGAAAATTCTCTACAGAAATTTACACATAGAAATTTTATTATAAAATATTTCTGATTTCTTCAATTTGATTGCCTAGCTAACAAATCAGAGTTTGTCTTGAAGGTCTTCGTGTAGGAAATGTTAGTGCAGTATTCTTAAGAAAATCTAGCCTTTAAAGTAATCTTAAGTGAAGCAAGTTTGTAGTATGCTTGCAATGTGAACGACAAGTGGTTTGGCGACGGCTCCTTGGGATGCTAGACAGGGCTAACTGATCCTTCCATACCAATACACTTGAGAAATAGGTTTTTATTATGCATTTAACATATATATTCTTACACTACTTTGTTCGAGTTATAGCAGATAGAAAATGTATATGTTACAATTTATAAAAACATGCAGGAAGTTTAAATTATGGTTTTTTCATACTACTAATAATAAAATATAACAATTTAATACCAAATCTTAGTTTCAGAACCACACCTATCTATGAATATATTGCCTCAAATGATAAATTTAAATATAGACAAGAACTTTTCTTATAATTATCAAATAGGACCGATTTCTATCCGATCCCTTGCAGCCAATTCATAGATAGTCAAAAATCATTTGATGATAATGAGAAAAAAGTAGCTTCATTCATTAATCCTCTCAAAGGAGAGGAAAAAGTCACTCAATACCCACCAATTTTCTTCTCTTTCATACATTTACGCACCATCTAAAGTTAATACATACTGTTTTACTTGACAATATACTGAAGATAATACAATTTCTAAATCCAAAAGGACATATATCAACAGAAAACTCATTATGTTTCATTCAAGTTCATATCCGATAGAATGCATTTAACTTTTAAATGATGTTTTCTATCCAATTTAGTGTCTAGAAATTCTATTCCTACAGTAAAACTATTCTCAAACTGCATACGAAAATATTTCTCAATTTTTTTCCGGAAAATTCTAATAGGTTGGCGCTCTTCATANAAACAAAAATTTCATCACTGTTCGAAAAAGATTGGGTTGACTGTAGAGAAGTACGTCCACTTGAAGAGTTTACACGTAAACTAATACAAATCAAGAAGCAACCGGTGATTGAAGCAAAAGGAGCCAGGTTAGAAAAGTGAAGTGAAGATGCGACCTGAATCTTATTCTGCTTCTGTTTTTAGATTAACACTGATCCATCATAGTCCATGTGTTGTGGTAGTGTGGGAGGTGGCATCAACCTGTGAAGGTCTCGTTGGTGTGTTCAATGTGGCCCAAGAAGCCAACAGTGAACAATTCATACAAATTTCTAATATGCCCGAAGGCAATTATGAAAATTTATTTGTCGATATGGGCGTGAATTCACTGCTTGAGCACGAGTTCCGAACAATTTCAGTGAACAAGAATAGGATGCTGCCCGTACCCCAGGTAGCCATTGTTCTTCATTATACTGGTGTTCTTCTCCATCCTAAACCATTTTACAGTGAAATATTCGATTTTAACTACAGAAACACGTAACATTGAAAACGAGGAACGAGAATGATTCACGAACTCAACCTGCTTAATAATAATTGTATTCGAGTGTAGATTGAACTTTTCGTTTCTTAGAACAATCATTGATGAATTGTGACTGTTTTGTCTGTCTTATAAGACTCAACGACTAATGCAACGGACTTTTCACTTGAAGATTGAGCGTTAAATTGGATGAAAAGCGAGGTCTTCTCTTAGTAAATGTGATTTGAAAACGAAAAAGAGCATCATCACTGAAGTCGAAATGACAAGAAAACGAGTCAAATGTAGAAAGTCCTGAAAAATAGATCCAGGAAGCGAGCGCTTTTCGAAATTCCAAGAGAGCTATATCTGAAAAGTCGTTTCCGAGGAGTTCTCCTCGGTGGGTGTCATGATCCAGGAGTGCACTTTCAATAATTCTGATTTAGTCCACAGTGTCGTGCTTGACTTGGTAGAGTGTGGGTGTTGGTGGAAGGGTGTGCATCTGCATGTATGTGATGACAAGATGAATACTGACACCCATACCCATATCTGTCTTTAAATGGTATAATTGAAGAATGGCTAACCTGTACAGGCCTACACTAGGAAATGCAAGTCATTTTAATCTGCTATATGAACTTCGTACTGTTCATAGGTGGTGAAAACATAAATGCTGCTTTTCATCTACACTTGATGATTATTGGAGGATTTTATTTCAACTTGTATCTCACTCATGCAAATAAACTGAACTATAGGGTGACGATCATAAATATAGGCTGCAATCAGTCCGAGCTTGAATAGTCCGTCCGTCACACTTAATGTTGCCTTACACCACTCAAAAGGACTTCACTATGAAGAGAAGGTGTAATGCTAAAATGTTTTAACTGCTCTGTATATACACAATATCACTTTCAGAAGTATCGTCTACTTGGCTATTGGCTTCACCTATGACGCCAGATTTATCATCTAGGCTACTAGAAAAGTTAGTTTGAGTTGCATGCATTTGGTGGTATCCAAAAAAAAATGTTAACTTATTTCAAAGATGTCGACATTAAATAAAGCTAAAGCTAATGATATGAAATATTAATTTTTTATCTGCATAATAATAAAAAATTGCACTATTGAGAGCATTCACGAAAGTATTTCAGCAATTCAAATTTCGAGGAAGACTTTGGAATGTTCTAGAATTTTTTAGATCCATCTAAGTTTGGTCGTTAATGCTGCTCGGCGCCTTTTTCTATCACTAAGGAACTCTGGAAAAACAATCGGACCACCTGTTGTCACCGGTGACTGGAGTTTATAATGGAGACAAGAAAGTGTGAGCAAGCACAAAGCATCGACTTAAAACTTACACTCATCATTTTCTTCTAAAGAAGATGTGAATTCCAAAAAATTCAAGTGTTTCTGCTACATCAGTATCAGCTGCACGTGTGTTTTCTCAAAGTGGTCTTTTATTGAGATCCGATCGTTCTAATTTTTCATGAGCTAATAGTTGTCTTTAAATTAGAAAAAAATCAATTCAAAACATATATTAAAGAACGGCGAATATGTCTTTTGTGTTATAGATCGGAATGATATTTTTTTTACATTGGTCATGCATTAGATTATGAACAGAAGGCAGAAGCTTATTGACAAAAAACTTGAAGCTTATATTGAATTAGAATTTGATCCAATGCAGAGAGCATTTCATGAAATTGTTCATTTTCTGGATGACGTTTATTCGCAAAAAAAACACATCCTAAAACGACAGCTTGATAAAATGATGCCAAATCAGGTAACAGTTGATCTGGATTACTTATATTTCATTCCTAACCCACATTTTAAAGTAATTCAATGTGCCATGTATATGTTTCTATATACCAATTCAGTCTATTGGACTAGAAAGATACGCCATTAAGACCTATTTTCTAATCTATAAATTCATCAACAGCCGAAGTTTCAAAGTTTTTAGATAAATTAACTCTAGCATTATTTGAAACACATCTTCGTTCAACAGCAATTAGTGATAGCGTTGATTTAATTCACCGTTTAGAAATATATGCAACCAGTGGTCATCTTTAGACAACGACTTATCTCTGCACATTTGATATAACTAATTTATATGCAATGTTACCACAAGAAGGATTACTTTATATTCTCATAGAATCTCTTCTTCAAAATGGTTATCATCAAAGTGAAAAATGTTTCTGTTGATGCTATCCAGAATTGGCTCGCATTGTGATCTCAGAGATTGTTTTCATTTAGGAAAAGATTCTATCGACAAACTATTGATGGTACAAATGGATCAACATTTACCTTAAATCTGAGTGATATTTTCATATGGGAGTGAAAAAAGAACTTGTTCGACAATAAGCGTCATTAAATAAAATCTGTGACCGGCATGTTTTGTTTCTTCTCCAAAAAATATTCCTTTTATTGGATACTATTATTTGTATTATTGACAGATATAGTAGTGATTTCTTCTTTACTTCAAACTAATTATTTGAATCTATTAATCAAATGTTAGATGAAGCTAATAGTTTTCATCGAAGTAATACATTAGTGCAAGCAATTGGTTCAAGTCTATCATTTCTTAACTTATTTGTCGAAAATAAAAATAAATTTTTAAAGAATATTATTGATGGTGTCTTTTCTTCAAGCAATGACATTATTAATGGACAGTATCAGCTTTCGTTGAAGAATGACAATCAGTTAAACTTATGTTACTCGATCATGGGTAAGTTTTCTTTCTCTCTGATTTTTGTTCTTTTTTTTTCAAATAATTATCTGCCAACATACATTTATTGTTGATTCTAGATATTCTTCTCGAAATATTTATCAACACAATTACTTTTACTTTTGCTTGACTGCACAAATGAGTTTCTTGTTTATATGTTGCCGTTGATTACACGAGCCGACAATTACTCAACATAAGATAGCTTCAGAAATAGTAAAAATTATTGCTTTAAACCCAAGCAATAAAATGGCTAATCCATCTGATTTAACATGAGTTACTCATGAAACGAAATAGATGAACAAACTAATTGTTTCCATGAAAAACGACTCCAATATATAAAAAGAGATATTCATCAATTGAGAAACGAAAACTTCAATACGCCATCAATCCTGAACACAAAACTCATTGTTGGAAATCGAAACAGTCTAAATATGACAGAAGAACTAGTGCATAGACGTACTAATGATAAGCCGACAATTGTTACTTTACAAATTATCGTTAAGAAAGCATTTTGTAAATTTTTATTACTATAACGGTAGGATAAAGACTTATCTTGGACGGCTGGGTGCCTACTTTTGATAGATGATCGCGCGTTTTTTTATCTTGTAATTATTTGAATAAAAAAGATTAAATATCGAAACTGAAGAGTACATGAAAACTATTGAAAATAATAAGATTCATCTGAACGCTAATTTACAATGTACCCATTTTAACTTTCGAAACAACCCATGACAAACATAAAAATGAATGTTATTATGCAACCGTGCGGGTAAAGTTCAGTAATAGCCAATACATTTAATTTCTTAATAAAAAAAGACCTATGTTAAATTATTCGAAATAATTCAATCATGAGCAGAAGAAGTTAACTAGGCACACTCAACAGTAACATTGTAAACATTTATCATAAAGCAGATTTCGAAGATTAGATTGCTGATGAATGAAAAACTTCAATAATTCACCATGCTAGAAAACTAAACCATCTCCATTGATCGAAAGATCATGTTGCCAGTTTTTTTTTGATTATTGACAATAAACATCATCTACAAGAACACAACTCATTCCATCATTCATATAGCCTGAACGATTTGCTGACTACTCTGCAGAGACTCAACTCTGGCATCCAATACATAAAGTGTGATTTAACAAAAAAATATGAAGACAATATGCAGATTTTGTATATTGTTTGTTACTTGACGGTCATTTGAATAGATGCTAAGTAAAAGCACGCTGATGAAACCCTTAAGCAAGCTCGGAACATGTTATGGCTGCTTGCCATACCCATATCACAATGTGAGTTCAAAGAAACTAACACACAGCAATTAGAAATCACGCATCAATAATAACCCTCATAATCAAATCGTAACTGATCATGTAGTTTTAGGCAAGAGAAGGTCTTGCAGCAAAATCTAAAGAAAATATAAGTTTCCATGTGGAATGACTAACAATACTAACGATTGAATAACTATGATCACGTTTGAACCATTCTTCGTTTCTTAAAGTGTAGCGATATGTTCCTATCTTTCAGAAAAGTGTCAGCGAATTCGTAGGATGAGCGCTATAAGATAATTAAATTGAAAAAAATTTCTCTGACCATGTTGTCTCGTTTCATGGCGAACTCTCTCTTTAGTTAAAAGTAAATTAACAGGAAAATAGAATCACGACAATGACAACAAAGGAAACATCATATTGTGCTAGTTTCATTTGGTTGTTTGTGGCCGCAAATTCCCTTGTCTTGAAATTGAAAAAGAATTTGTTTCTTCTGTTGCATTTAAAACCATAGCTTTTTATGCTCTTACTTTAATTTTGGATGCACTTCATAAAAATGTAGGACACTGATGAATGCATCTTAATAAAGATTACAAAATACGTCCGTGATTGAACACAGCATTCTTTCGTCTGAGTTCCAAATAAACAATTCTCTACTAGTAATCTTCGTTGAATCGGCGACTACTGAAAAGCAAGAGTTAAGACACTATCGAATCAATTTGTTTACGATAACTGTGATCTAGTTTTGTGACGCTAGTGAACTTTATGTATTCTGTCTTTCTGTTGCGGATTTTGGGACCGAGTCAGATTGAGAAGGGATTTACTTTTCCCTCTAGATAATTTCAAAGGCATTACCAATCGTATTTCACAAAACTACCGTAGACAGTTTCAATAGTTTATTGTGATAGTAGATCAAAAAAGAAATTCCAAGGATAATCGCTAGAGGTATAGTATGAAATAATGAACAAATTAGACAGCCGGATTTTGAAGGATGAGGCTTGCAAACAAAAATAATGGCATGAAATGTCAAAAGCTGCTTGTTGTATTTACTATTTGCAATAATTCGTATATATTTCTGCATTGTTCAGACCACACTATCATATGACCATTCACCAGTAACGAACACTTTCTTTTGTTAATACGAAAGCAGGATGCTTAACTCGTTGAATCTTCATATTATCATTACTTATCCAAGTTCCTGTTGATGGATCATACAATTCGGTACTAAACAGAGCATCACGAGCAGCATTGTCTCCTCCAGTAACTAACACTTTTCCATTTTGTAATTTGGATGTTGTGTGTCCACAGCGTGTGTTATTCATGCTGTCCGTAGTAGTCCAAGTTCCTGTTGACGAATCATACAACTCAGCACTACTTATAACAGCATAATCACCATTGATTCCATCAGTAACTAACACTTTTCTATTTGTTAATACGGATGCTCTGTGATCCTGTCGTTGGCTATTCATACTCGCAGTAGTTGTCCAAGTTCCTGTCAATGGATCATACAACTCAGCACTGCTTAGAACGCTATCATTATTTTTTCCATCAGTAACAAACACTGTTCCGTTTGCTAATACGGATGCTGGGTGAAGACGTCGTGCTTGATGCATGCTACTAATAGTTGTCCAACTTCCTGTTGATGGATCATATAATTCGGCACTACTTAGACTACTATAGTTATCTCCACCAGTAACTAATACTTTTCCATTTGTTAATAATGTCGCTCTATGTCATACTCGTGAATGACTCATGCTGCTAGCATTGATTGATCCTACATGAAAACATTTGTGTGTGTTCATTGTGGGAAGAATATGCATTATTGAACCCACACGATAGTCTAATAATGTGCGGAACGTTTTGGATTTTGTAATGACGAAAATTTCTTCTTGCCAATAAAAAAAAAGTTTTTTTCTGAATTTCAAATGATCTCAAGAAGCCTTGAATTGCTTATAAGAAGTCGCTCATGATAGAGTGTGACCGTAGATCCCTCATTTTTGATAAAGAATCGTATGTGGGAGTAAAAGGTAAAGTATGTTTGCATTTTCTAACTATCACCAACTTATTTATAGAATAAATGTGCCTGTGATTTTGAGTTACTGGAATTTCGACCGAAGAAATTTTCGATTCGGATCCAATATCATTCTCAAAGGATAAAGAAATTCGGTTGCATAGTGATGAGCAAGATGAGATGACACTGAGCCGTTTGCTTGAATTCCTATTAGAAGAGTTGCAGTCTTTTGAGACAATTATTGTTTATCAGAAATAACTGCTAATGTAAAATGGCGCAGTGCTCTTAACAGGATAGGCGCCATTCATAAATGCAGTCATAGCTTAGAGAGACAGAAGAGGATCACGAAATTATGACGTTTACAATGTGCTCAAGAAACTATCCAAAGAACTCTTTAGCAAAATGATGGCATTGATGGTAGACAGGAGCTAGAATAAAAACAAAGTTCCATTTTTGAACAGTCTCATGTCTTGAAAGGCAATTTACTAGAAAGAACGCTACAACTATAGTGTGATCTAAATTCATACTGCTCAACATTATTTCGCCTTTGTAAATACTACCCAGCATAAAAAATATCCATAGAAATACGACCTTTCATTAGAACTAATGAGATCAATTTGAGCTTAGACCAAAAGTCTTGAGATATATTGTACTTGGAACTAATGTCATGAAGAACTTTATAGACTGTGCCAAAAATTCCGCTCTCCTTTGGGTCATATGCAGCTTGTATTGATTATAATTGACATAATGAAGCTCCACAAATGAAGAAGGTATGGCAAGCTACAGCTGGATTCAAAATAGAAGGTTATTTATCAAATGTGCCAACGCCCACAAATATCACTCATGTATATTCAGAAGAATGGCACTAACGAAATGAAGGAAAGTATATTTCTTCGATTAACGGTGTAAATGCTAAGAATATCATTTGATTGTTATTCATGTGTAACTGCTCGGCATCATTGTCTCCGATGTTCAGTTTTCATTGCTTTGTGGATCGCCAAGCGCACAATATGTTCTATTCGAGCACCTGTAAACCTTTTGCTAGTTTAAAAGATGTAGCTGATGTCCACATCGTTTTGAAAAATTTCTTTACGGAATGTAACGGCTTGGTGTATGTGTTGAATTTCTGGTGTCGTGAATTTGCATTGTGAAATTCAATCTCGATGAAAATGTTAATTTTAGCTGATTGAAGAAGAGCTGGATCCACCGCATTCAACGTATTCGTTGTGGCGACCAAGAATATGTATATTGTTCAGATAGACCATCCCACTTATTCATGCAAGTATGAATATGTAGTCACATTGCCTTGAATATTACTACCCGTTTCTTATATGTGTGATGAACGTCGTTGGTAAATTACGTCAATTCTATCGAATACTGTAGCATGAATATTATTACTTGGTGCTCACGATCATTTTCAAATACCTCACAAATTCTGACGTTGAGTAACTCACAGATTGTTCGGACGATCACTTTTTTCTTTCTACTAGGAGCACCAGGAAAAATTGGCTTTTGGTTACTAAACTCTTCGGATAAATTCACGTTCATGACATACTTAGAAATATTTGTTCGAAAATGTTATCGGAGTCATTAACTTTACTTTTGACGTTAAAGTTTTCTTTGATACTATTAAATTGATCGCACGCTTGTTTGATTGAGATGAATGCAACTACGTGATACCAATGATAAGGTTTCTAGCGAAATGTCTCCTGTAATTGGTAGCAAAGTATAATAGTTCCTCAAAGAACAAAGTATTCCACGCATACATCGAGTTTGAAAGAACCACGCTTTGTAGTCACTTGTAGATAGTTAATATTCAAAAGAATGGATTCTTCAGGCGTATAGAAATAATATTCGTATCAAAGTCTTCCTAAAATACTTTTGTGTTAATAAACATTCGTTTCTCCGTTGCGGAGATGTACAAACAGCCTCTAGACGAAGTGAACAAGTGCGCATTATTTCACGAAAGGTACGCTTGCGTGGTCGCGTGGTCATTTAATCGAACATGCGACAGTGATGAACGGCATGAAGAATATGAATAAATTTTCTCATTTCATATCAGTGTCACTGATGTCGAGTGTATGGGAAATACTGCTATTTACGAAAAGGTTAGAACAAACGATCTGCTTGTTGGAGACATCCATTCGAGCTAAATGCTATCTGAAACTTACTCCAGTGAGACTAGAGATGTTTTCTACATCTGGTTATTAACCAGAATAAAAGACGAATGTGAAAGCTATGTGAATCTGATATCAAGTTATGTAGTTCTTCATGATGCGATCATCCGATATTCTGTGATGGATCCGCCTAGTTTACTATGCAGCAAAGATTTTCAGTCTACTGACCACAACAAGTAAAAAATTGGCTAGAGACTTCAACAAAAATTCAGAATCATGATACAATTCTAGTTGAGGTGAGTAGTGATACCAACTGTATGTTTTGCACTATCCATAGATTTTATTCAAGAATGTGTATCTCTGAAACTCATTATCTTCGCTTTCACAAATTGTGTACATACAACAGCATCGCAATACAATGAGAATGACGAATGCATGCAAAATCAAGTGACAGGAATTTTGGACAACAATCAACATATTGGCATTCTCGTAATAGCAGTTTTAGCGAGTATTCTTCATCATGCGATTGCATCGACGTGCCCACAAGTGAATAAGATTAAAGTCTGTTGTAATGTGGTGAATGCAACCTTTTTTTCACGATATCGGCTAAATTCTACTTCGCAAACTCTGATACGTATACTATAGTCAGCATCGGACATGGATACTGACCAAGATTGGTGGCACAATTATTTTTTACTGATTACGCCTACTAGTGAACTGTCACATGCTACTGTAACGACTACCTCTATCAATATATTCAACGATACAGTGCCGATAAAATGCATACATGGGATGCCAATTTAGATGCATCGCATGGTATTGAGAATTAGACTGGCACAAAAAAGAAACTGTTGTTGAGAAGGAAAAGAATGAAAACACTCCTCCCATTGCTATATAGTTTCGAATCAAATCGTTTTTGGTGAACCTCCTCTGACTATTCAACAAGTATTGAATGCCATGAACGAAAATCTAGTTAATTCGCACTTACCAAAAGTAATCATCTCTTTGTCAATCTTCATTGTGAAACTTACGGAAGAAAAGATGGTGATGAGGCCTGCACTCGAAAGAGGTATTTCGAGACTAAGTTTGCGATCACTGACAACAACAGTTATCAAATAATGCAATTTAATTTAGACTATCATTTTTGTTACAGCACGTGCATTGGAAACTGATATATTTCTCAGTGTGTTCAAGAAAGCTCAATCATAACATGAAAGCGATTCGTATTTCTTCTCATCTATTTTCATTCATTCCTATATTCGTAGGTTATATGTATAAATAAAAAGTCATCCATCTTTGTCACGACGCAGGTGAAGTTATCACCAGATTCGAGTATTTTCAGCTCGGTTTTGTCCAGCAACTTGTTCCAAATCTCCTATTCTTGTTCCAAGTACAACTCGACGAGCAATATCCAAAGATATGCTCAGATTTTCCACAATTCAAACCAGTCGCGCACAAAATCGATACTTTCATTATTTCTCCACGGAGTCCAGGGACCCAGAAAAGTATTTCCAGCCCGAATTCGCTCAGAAACTTGTTTCAAATCTCCCATTCATGTTCTAAGTAGAACTCGGCAAGCTCTATCTAACGGTGTACTCAGATTTGCCACAACCCAAAGTATGATTTTTGGGACCATAGATGGCGCTGTATAAAGTCTAAAAATTATAGTTGAGGTTATGAAAAATCTGAGCATACCATTGGGTAGAGCTCGTCGAGTTGTACTTGGAACAAGAATAGGAGATATGGAACAAGTTGCTGAGTGAATTCGGGCTGAAAATGCACGAATCTGATGATAACGTTACCTACGTTTTGCCACAAATGATTTGTTGTACGAGTTATTATTTGGAACATTCGCTTGCCGAAAATCTACTGATATTTCCACGATATCTTGGAACTGAAGAATCTTCAGCAAGAAATCATATTCAAAAGCCACACGGTAACTCTACGGAATATTGACAGTCATTTTCTTCAACATTGGTCTCAGTTTTCAAGAAAATAAGACTATGTTTAATAGTATTCTGCAAATTACTTAGAACTTTATTCACAGGATTACCCATGTAAAAAAGATGACTCAAAATTAGATTATAATGAATTATTTTTGGATTAATAATCTATCACAATGGCACTATTATGATAGATTATTATCTGATTTTTTGGGGCGTCTTTTTTACATGGGTAGTCATATTCATGCAGAATGAAGTCATCGACATCTTATACAAGCGTCATGGTCTATGTAGAATAGGTAGTTAGTACACTTTTAACAATGAATGGAAACAGAACTCAAGTATGAAATGCTCGACAAATGAGTAATTTGCATACAGAAGAATCTATTGCTACATGGAACATCAGAGAAACCGAATGAAATTGCTATGCGATTCTCTATGGCTAAGAATGAAACTTCAATCATTATCTGATCTCAAGTTAATTTGCTCGAAGACATTAAACATTAACGTACAACTATCTCACATCAAATAGCTTCGCCAGTGCTGCGTATGTATAGATCCTGAAAAATTTTAATACAATATTCCTCTTATCAATTAGCTTTTGATACAACAACTAATTCGACTAAATGTAACTATAATATTAGAAGAAAGAAATGTGATTTAAATCACTCTAAAATCATTCTAAGTTGTGTAAGTCATCAAAAGCCATTGAAAATAAACCAAAATTCTTGGAAGCCTATGAGAAATCTAATGTTATTTTGATCGAATCCTTTTTACTTTAAATGAATTTGATTGACTTTCGGAAAATTTCTGATTCTAGATGACTTTAATCTAACCGTTAGCTAGATGCAAAGAAGCTACATATATCTGTTTTAAAAGTAATATTTAGGTAGATTAAAAAAGTGTCTGTATACAGCTTACCTGATTGCTGAACTGTGGTTGCGAATGTTGTTAATGGCGTTGTTGATGATGGTAATGTTGTCGTTGGTGATGGTGACGTTCCAGTTGATGACCGTATTGTTGCCATTATAATATCCTGCTTCTTTGGTGCAAGTATGATAAATTTTAATACTGAAGTGAGTATAACTGCAAGAATTGCTACAACAAGAAAGCAGATACAAATGATCGTAAACCAACGATGGTGCCACCATTCGCGTGGTCCATTATTTCCATCGACTTGCTCGATTAACATCAAGTCGTTACCTATGTTATGTTCTACAAGAAGCTTAAACGGAAACACGAATGAGAGTGTGAATGAAGAGAGCACTTACATCTACGCCCACACTTATAGTTTCACTAATACAGAAAACTCTACCAAGAATGCTAGAGTGCATCAATAGAAAGGACAGAGAAATTCGTTAAGATTCATATGATTATGCTCGTAAATTCAAGCGGCCTATAAATGTGGAAAAAACAGTGGTAAAACTATTCTACTAACAAATATAAAAACCGATAATACAGATCTACATGAGTGGTAAACAGTTAGAAACAGTGAAATCATTTAGTTATTTAAAACTTGTTTGAACGAATAAATTGGTCCTTGCACCGACTATCGAACACTGTATAGAGAAGATTCAAAGTTCATATACTAAATTAAGATTGTCGAAGAGAAATCAAATGGTTCCAACTGACATATTGAAACCATGTTTCTTTACCTACAGCTCTCTTTGCGTGGATTTTTCCCCTTTTCCCCTCACTACACATATATTACCAAATGTTTCTAGGACGCAAATTCAGAGTAGGTTAAAAGATAGCACATAGATGTTTCGCTATAGCAGCACATGAACGTATGAATAGAATATCTCGGTTTAACCTAGGCTGGTCATTATTTTATAACGATTGTTTCTATTTGGATGTCTTTAAAAGAAACGAAACGACAAAGCGATTATGCTGAACAGAAGTTAAATTTAAGACATTTCTCTAGGTTATTCGGAGTGAGAAAAATAATTTCTAGGTACGAGTCAATGCTACTCCGCTGGTTCCATTTCGTCGAAAATCATTCCCAATAAGAAAATAGATTACATTAGTGCGCGAGTTCTTCTTAGCTTTTAAAAATACACTACCTTTTCTTTCCATCTTAGTATCTTTTATGGCTTCTATGTTTCGTAGATTCTTTGTCGTTCATGTTGTGCAGAAGAAACAAGTTAGCATATGGTTCATCTTTTACTTATTTATCTTGTGCTTTTCTTTTCTTATTGATTTTATACCGTTTTTATATTTTCTTTTCGCTTCCCCCCTGTTATTATGTTTTTTTAAGCGTCAATATACGTTATAGAAAAAAGCTTTCTCCTAAAAACCTGTTGCTTTTTTATCTTTTCGTGAACAGATGCCATCGTAACTGTGATGGTGTGAGTATGGAAAAAATGCCATGACCCGTTTTGGTCTTGTTCAAGGACCTCATCAAATAGTTGCTAGATCTCAATTCTGACTAGCGAATTGTTGAGAATGGTTTGATACAAGCTCCTACAATACAAGTGCACTTCAAATTTGTCTTTGTTTTATTTGTTTTTGTTGTTTTAGTTCGTGAAGAATATATCTAAAATGGAAAGGAACATGAGTTTATGAATATACCATAGAATGACGTTTAAATGCTTATGATGACAAGTATATTTTAGATCAAACCAAAGTAAAGTCTTGTTGCAAATGAACTTTACGAGGGAACATTCCCAAGGGATTCGCTCTGCTTTGATTCATTCGTACCTCATTCGATAGAGTATATTGAGATAAGAAAAAGCCTAGAAGAATTTGTGTTCATGGCTTAGTAGTAAAAAGTTATGGCCGTTTTACTGAAATTTTTACTGTGAGCCTGGCATTTCGGAAAAAAACAAAGTGAAGAGTTTCGAGCTGGAATTTTACCTGTAGATAGATTTAATAGTCATTATATAGTCCTAAAAATTTCAACGAAAACGAACATATCTTTCTCGAGTTATTCAATTTTCAAAAAAATAGTTGTTTACCATAGGAGGGCACAATAATCCAGTTTAGTTGGACATTGAATATCTCGAGAAAGACATGTTCGTTTTCGTTGAAACTTTTAGGACTATATAATGACTATTAAATCTATCTACAGATACAATTCCAGCTCGAAACTCTTTACTTTACTTTTTTCCGAAATGCCTGGCTCATAGTAAAAATTTCAGTAAAACGACCATAACTCTTCACTACTAGGCCATGGGCACGAATCCTTTTAGGCTTTTTCTTATCTCAATATACTCTATCGAATGAGATATGAATGAATCAAAACACAGCGAATCACTTGGGAATGTTCCCCCGTTAGTAATGTTGGGTACTTGTAGATGCTACCTATACTATTTGCTCGAGATGCAGTTTTCAATGTTTATTAATATTACATTGAGCACGTTAAGTCATATTTGATTGATGATTTTCCAGTGGCAGTTATGATAGTATCAACAGTTAGGAGCTTTTGAAAGGACGTGTGTTCAATTAAAAATGGCCTCCAAACACTAAACACGTTGAAACGCGTTAAGATTTCAATATAGAGTCGTTTTTACCAGTTTTCTCTGCAGTTTTTACTGTTTTTAACGCATTCAGAAATCTGAGTACATTAAAATACGAAAGTTCAAGTTAAACAATGTATTTTTGTTCGTTTTACTTGAAGAGATTTTACTGTGTCAATCACTAACTCATTAATTTGTGTTTTTTCAAGAAAACTAAATACGCTTCATCTGATTTGCTTTCGTGAACACAATTGAACGTTCAATTTTTTTCAATTGATGAACAAATTTTATATGATAATGATTCTCAATAACTTTTTAATTATATACTAAAATGATGTATGATAGATACGAGAACTATTTTGGAAGGTCGTAATATCATGATAAAGTCATATAATCATTGAAACAAGATCTTTAGCTTACTTTCTTCGACTAAATGCGAAAGTCCCATAACAATATCAATATTCATTTTCAAGATAGTAAACATATGTAACTTATTCATTTAGCCGTGAAACGATTACTTTAATATAGAAAATTGTTTTGTGTGATTTATCAGAAAAGATCAAAGTTGATCACACATCTATTTTATAATTGACTTCATTCAATCAACATTTTATCTTTCCTGAGCCCAACTTAATTGCTCTGCTGTCTGTATTTCCTCATCTAATATCAAGTAAAATAACAAAGAAACTAAGCAGTAAATCTGAGAATGTTTTTCTTCTTTGTTGTCATTTCCTTTTACACTACAAGAAAATTATAAACTAGTATCTTCTATTTGCGATCGTTTCATAGATTTGATTGAAAAGCTTCCAAACATTATCAGGAATACTGGTTGTATAATAAAGAAACATGGGAGAATTACACATCTCCTGTACGAATGTTAAAAAGAAGAAAAACACATTATTTACAAGTTTTATTAGTCTAATTTCTGCTGACGGTCTTCTCTAAGTATTCATCAGACATAGTCTCTCTAGGATTACGCAGCATAAGATATAATCGAATGTGTATTTCAGAGCTAAGAGGACTCGGGCATTTTTTCAATAACTTTAAGACAAAAAGGGAGAAATGGCTCGAGTTTTCAAAACTATCTAGAGGCGACATTACTGCATCTATTTTATAAAATTCACAAAAATAAATCTGCTTGCTCTTCTTCTGAGATATGGCATCTGTTTAAAAGATGACCTTAATCCACTTTGAAAATAATATGGTTTCTAAACCATAATACAATGGGTAGATAGGCTAGCTCCGTCTCTAGCGATCAGCACAAGAATGAGATCGATAACCGTTTTCTTTCAAAAGATATAAAGAATTCACTGAATGTTACTCATCGAAAATTTTCAAAATCTAAGCAGTTAACAAATATCTCTTTATATAAATTTTTATCCGTCTTCCACGTCATGACATGATTTATTAACCTTTGAAGTTTGTTTTCCTATAAAGACCGTTATCAGAATTCATACATTCAATTTATTTTATGATACGGAATTGATAAATCAGAAAACTCTTTTTGACTTTTATTTTATTGATGCTTTTATCCCAAAAGGCTTATGAAGTCGAATAAGTCAATCAAAAAGAGATTCAAAGGTTTTAGCGCAAATTGAAGATAGAAAGTCATCCGTCATCAGCATCATTTGTATTATGAGGACTATAATCATTATCATTGTAATCGTTAAGTTCTTCTGCGATGTTTTCGACATAAATGTCTGTTCTTTTAAACCTTGTCTCATATTGTTTGAAATGATAGATGTAGTTGGTAGTTTCCCTCGTATTCTAACCACATATTCATTCCTGTGCTACTTTGCTCACTTCAGCCAAAGTAAACCACGTGTGTCTATCATGAACACAGATTTTTATCTTGGTCCAGGCTAATTCAATAGAATTCTGTATGCAATGTCTCATTGGTAATCATAAAAAAAGGATGCAAGTAAAGAACAGATGTGAATAGATTACAGTTACCGTAAAATATCAACTCGATACTTTTGTGTAGTAAATTTTGAGAAGTCAACTTTCATAACTCTGCTTTAGAAATATCTTTTGCACATGGAACATCATGATCATCGTGATCATCAAGCTACTCAGCTGTCATTTGGCTGTAACACTTGTGCAATAGAATTATACTAAGTGAACATGTCCGCGAACGTGCTGTCACATCACAGACTATTGATTGAATGAAATAAAAACATTTATCCGTTGTTATAAATAAATTGACTGTATGAATTCTGATGACACTCTGAATAGGAAAACAAACTCTACAGGTTAATAAATCATGTCATGACGTGGAAGACGGATAAAAATTTCTATAAAGATTTTGAAAAATTTCGATGAGTAGCATTCAGTAGATTCTTTATATCTTTTGAAGGAAAACAGCTACCGATCTCATGCTTGTGCTGATCGATAGGGACGGAGCTAGCCTATCTATCCATTGTATTATTGTTTAGAAAGTGTATTATTTTCAAAGCGGATTAAGGTCATCTTTAAAATCGATGCTATATCACAGAATAAAAGCAACCAGATTTCTTTTTGTGGATTTTATAAAATAGATGTAGTAATGTCGACTCTAGATAGTGTTGAAAACTCGAGTCATTTCTCTCTTTTGGTCTTAAAGTTATTCAAAAAATGCTCGCATCCACTTACCTCTGAAATGGACATTAAGCGGAGGCACAATTTCTTCTCTTTCACAGTAACTAACTTCTTTGCAGTCTTCTAAGGATCACTACCCTAGTGAAGGTACTCACAC